ATATATATATATATATAATAAAGGAATTGGTTTGTACGATCTTACCATGGTATTATAACTTTTGTACCATTACCGTACAAACATTGCTCAATTGGTACGGTACTACCAACCAAACATGTTGACTACCAACTATATTGGCTACCAACTTTCTTGGTTCGATTGGTAGCATGTTGGTTGGTTGTTCATGGTACAATTTTGCCAGCCCTAATTATTACTTTGTGTTAAATCATTTATCAAGTTGTTGAAGTGCTTAAAACCTAACAGCCACTGCCCGCCACCACCATTTTTCATTGTCTCAACCACCATGAGAACATAACCACCTCCCACCACCACCACATTGTCATTCGCCACGACAAGAAGATAAACACCTCCGGCCACCACCACATCGTTCTTCTAACTATTCTCTTCAAAATCAGTTGTTGGAATTGAAACCCCTAGAACCATGACTTAGTCAAATCCACATATTTCAATCATCATTATGTGCACCATCGTTGATCAAGTATTTACCAATTATAATCGGTGGATATGTGTGCTATGAACTAACTTAATAAAAAGAAATTCATCAAGTATTTACCCTCTTAATTCTTACTAGACGTTCGAGAATCGATCTAGTTCTCTCCAAAATTCTTCCCAATTCACAAAAGATGCCTCTACCTTATTTCTCAAGCCTACTTAAAGGACAACATACTAACAAATAAATTTCTAATTTACCCCTCCATTACAAAAGGATTCCCCAACTCATGTCCCTAAAGAGCCACTTTGTCCTCAAGGTGAAAGGAAGGAAAGTCACGATGCAAGGCTTCCATGCATCTGTTTGAACATCCACTATAGGAGAATGATTGATTACCAATGGCCTTTTTTGTTAACTCAGAAAAAGATATTTTCTTTACTTAGAGAAAAACAAAAAATCCAAACTACTATGATTTCTATGTAATTTAACCAATGGTATATTAAGTTTTAAGAGATTAATTTTTTGCCCACCATTACTTACTATACTTTTTGTAATTTGTTTAATGTATACTTTTGAAGAACCACATGGTTTTTTTTCTTCTTTTTATTCATTTTATTTCCGTTTTCTTATAACTTTACGGATGTCATCTTCGTTTTGTGATTAGAATAAAACACATGGAAGATAAAACCAACAAAAAGTGACTGAAAAATCGTATATTAATTTCAGGGCCCCGAATCAAACTACTCAAGTTTCGGATTTTTCCCGTTAATTTCAAAACCTTTGTGCCACTTTTTGGCCGATTAAAATGGCCTTTCACTATTACAATCTCTCCCAAAATGCCTCCGCCGTATCTCTCCTCCGCCACCTTCCTCCTCCTCCTCCTCTACTCCGGCCACCTCACCGTATCTCTTACAGAACCCACCTTCCCCTCCTTCCCTGGCTGCGACGGAAATTTCTCTTGTGGCAACATCCACAACCTCAGCTACCCTTTCACCGGAGGTGATCGACCCGATCACTGTGGTCCACCTGAATTCCGACTTACCTGTACTACAAACGAGTACCCCGAGTTAATCTCCGAACCAGTTACTTACCGGGTTCTCGAAGCTAACATGACCGGAAAAACCCTCGTACTAGCCAGATCGGACTTATGGAACAATCCTTGTCCTACCACCTTTCTTAATTCGACTCTCGATTCGAATTACTTTGATGCTGGTGGCATTGAGAATGTTGATCTCACCATTTTCTTTGGATGTAGTTCGTCGCTCATGCCTATCCAACCACAACACCGGTTTTTTTGTGATGTAGGTGGTGTGGATCTTACAGATTCGTACTTTTTAATCGGGAATGTTCCTATTGAACCGATATTAAAGATGATACACTGTTTTAAGGGTGTGAGGACTCCGTTGTTAAGAACTGTTGCTGATGATCTCAATCAAAGTATGTTGACTCTTGCAGAAGCTTTGACTATGGGTTTTCAGGTTACCTACAGTAATCCGTTTGATGAGAAGTGTTTAGAGTGTGGTAGGTTGCAAGGGCATTGTGGATTCAACATTGCTACAAGCCAACCCATTTGTATTTGCAACAGTAGTATATGTATTCCACCAGGTGTTCGACATAATGCCTTCTCATATATATTATATCACTTAAAACCAACAACTAAAATGCATTTGCTCATCACATTAGTTATATTTTTGTTGAAATTGTTGAACCTTTTATGGGTTTCTAGTAAATATCTTGATGGGAGGATTTTGTAGCTAACATTTTCTTGAAATTTTGCTTATTTGCAGGGAGTTCAAAGAAAGGATCTGTGTTTATAAGTATGGATTCCATTCTGTTATTAAATAGACTTAAATTTCTTTCTTAATCATCATTTCAAGTAACTAAATATTATTTTTTTTCTTTGAATTCTAGTCCTTTCCACCCTTGGAGCAATTGTTGTAGTTTTTGGTGTGGGATTGGGAATCTTTGTTTGTAAACAAAGGAGGAAAAGGCGTAATAGAAAAGAAGCATCATCCTTAAAAACCGAGGGCAAAGGACTAACGAGTTATACCCAATCTAATTTGAGTTCTAGCATCCCTTCATATCCTTCACCAACAACTAAAGACTTCACAAACTGCTCCTATTTTGGAGCTCAAGTTTTTACCTATGAAGAACTAGAACTAGCTACCGATAACTTCAATGATTCAAGAGAACTCGGTGACGGTGGTTATGGAACTGTTTATCATGGTAAAATACTATAATCCTTAAATACTATAAACGTAGAGTCTCACATCAGCTAGACACAGTCCAATCTGTCTCTATATATGTATGTCAGAGTCCCAGCTCTCTTTTCGAGAGAAAATCAAGAATTTTACATATCTAACATGGTATCAAAGCTAAAATCAACAGATATGTGAAAATCAAGAATTTCACATATCCATATATGTACGCCAGAGTCTCAAATCAGCTAGACACAGTCCTATTTGACTTTATATATGTACGTCAGAGTCCCACTTCTCTTTTCGAGAGAATATCAAAAATTTCACATATCTATATATGTACGTCAGAGTCTCACATCAGCAAGACACAGTCCTATCTGACTCTAGATATGTATGTCATAGTCCCACCTCTTCTTTCGAGAGAAAATAAAAAATTCCACATATCTAACATGGTATCAGAGCTAGATAAAATCAAAGACTCCACATATCTAACAGAATAAATCTTGAAATTCTCTAGGTAAGCTTCTCGATGGGCGAGAAGTAGCAGTGAAACGTTTATACGAGAACAATTTCAAACGCGTACATCAATTCATGAACGAAATTAAAATCTTGACAAAATTACAACACAAAAACCTCGTAAAACTATACGGATGCACATCAAAACGAAGCCGCGAACTACTACTCGTATACGAATACGTTCCAAATGGCACAGTAGGCGATCATCTTCATGGAAAACTATCAAACTCAAATTCAAATTCAAATTCAAACATGTTTCCATGGTCTATACGCCTCAACATCGCCATAGAAACAGCCGAAGCACTAGCCTACCTCCATGAATCCGACATCATACATCGCGATGTGAAAACCAACAACATTCTCTTAGACAAAACTTTCAAAGTCAAAGTTGCTGATTTTGGTTTATCAAGATTGTTTCCAAACAACGCGACACATGTCTCAACGGCCCCACAGGGGACACCTGGCTATGTGGACCCCGAATACTACCAATGTTACCAGTTGACTGACAAGAGTGATGTGTATAGTTTCGGGGTGGTTTTGATTGAGCTCATATCTTCTTTACAAGCTGTTGATACTAATAGAGATAGGCTCGATATAAACTTGGCTGCAATGGGGGTTAGTAAGATTCAGAATCATATGTTGGGGGAGTTGGTGGATGAGAGGATTGGGTTTGAGAGTGATGGGGAGGTGAGGCGGATGGTTACATTGGTGGCGGAGTTGGGTTTCCGGTGTCTGCAACCGGAGGCGGATATGAGGCCGACGATGAAGGAGGTGGTGGAGATTTTGAGAGGGATTCAGAATGATGAAATGAATGCTCAGAAACCGGAGGTTGTTGATTTTGTGGTCGAGTGTGGGCTGTTTAAGGATCATAATACACAACCACCATCCCCGGAGTATGGTGTTACTAACAAATTGGTTAATGGGTCATTGCCAAATTCTTCTGATGGTTGATCGAACTTTCTTGCATCTTAAGAGTTTGGTTATGCACTGTGTTTTGAGTTTTGTTACAATCATGATCACTTTTTGGTATGTGACTTTAGTTTTGATGTTCATTAATCTAAATTGATCAAACGTAAGAGAATTATCCTAGTGCGACGTGTGTGGTGTGTGTAAAGTAAATGCAATGTATGAACAATATTCACCTGTGTCACGTAAGATTCTTGTGTATATATATATAGTATAGGGCCTTTTAGCCATCTTCAATTTATACACTCCAGATCCTGGTCTCCATTATATGCAAAACATGTACCTAAGATATATATTCATTTAATAAAAATGGAACAAAGAGTTAATATCATAACGAAACACCGAAAATTCTGTAAAATGACCCGTTTGGTTCGGAGTAACTGATCATAACATTGTTTCTTTCATTTCTTAATCTGCAATAATAATTAAATTTCGTACATGGGAAGGCGTATACAATAAATTTGGAAAAAAATAATCATTAAACAGAAGAGCATATATGATCCACACTACTAGAAATGAAAGGAAAAACGGTTGGAAATCTGTAGCAACACCTTTCCGACAAAAAATACAACCGAAAATATGTCCTAGGAACTTTTTCGGAGGGATTTCTGACACTTATTCAGCGACACTTCAAACAAAGTACTTAGGTCGGAAGTTCCCTTACTTTTCTCATACATGTCATTTTGCTTGGCTTCCGAGAGACTTTTCTGATGGAACATAATTCCGAAGCATTTCCGAGGAAAATAATTCCGAGGCATTTCCGTGGAAATCCCTTTTTTAGTGGCACTATTTGGAAAGATTTTGTTAGGCATTTCCGAGGGAATCCCTTCTTGTGACAGTCTTTAGCGACACTTTTTGGTGACTTATTTTCCTAGGGAAAATCTTCATCTACATCTACATCTACCTCCTTTAATAAACAAAACCTTTAAATGCCATATGTCCCATTTCTAAGTAGACTAATTGACACGTGTCAATTTTTAAGAAATTCCTAATTTTTAATTTTTTTTTGGTATTTCCTTATTTTCCGGAAAATATTTATGAGGAATTCAAAATTCAAAATTCAAATTTCCATTTTTTTTGGTAATTT